CAGTCCTGAGGATCCCCCAGCAGTCTGTGCGGCCCCAGCATCACAAAGTGTTGCTATGATAATAGTTCTGGCCCCTGCTGGCTCCACTCTGTCTGAGGATAGCCAACTATTTTCTGGCTGCACTGTTACAGAGACTTGATCATTCACACGTTTCCATTATTGTGTAAAATCTATATGTTTATATGGTTCAATAGTGTGGGGATGCAATATGTGTTACGGGTAGTAATTCAGTGTTAAGGAGTTACGTGTAAATTGTAAAAAGGGTAAACACACTCATATTTCCTGTTGACTCTCTCCTAAGCAGTCACCCCACATGCTTCATAGCTTCAAAAATCCTCGCCCACATAAATGGGGCCATGGCCATACGCACTCTTTCACTCCTCTCTCCGGTGTAGCTGGACTTTACGCTAGCTTTTGAAAGCTCTGAGCAGCAGCTTCCACATGTCCGTGTGTGTGATTCATTCCATCGTCTCACTGCCTTGACCCAGTGCGTAAAACAGCCTTCTGAGAGCTGGCTGTTCAAACGCTTCTCCTCAATAAATATATCAGATACATATTGCTCGTGAATCTCGGCCAATTGAGATACTTGAAATGTATTTATTGTGGCTTCTTTGTCGTTCTGGTGCTGATATATTAACAGTGGGAGAGCAGACCATAAAGCATTAAAGGGAAGTTAAAGCAGTGTGTCACACTCTGAGCTCCGCCGTGCAGCGGACTGCAGGCTGCTCGTGAAGGCACCACAAACTCTCCTTCTCTTAATAACCTCGTTTAAACATGGACATATAGAGGCAGTGATGGCCGCTGACCTTTAGAAAACTGCCCTGAACGCTACTTTCCGATCAAGTCATTGAACAGCTTCATATTTGAAAAGGCTTGATGTTTTATTTTAGAACAATTTGTTCCCGCTGCTCTTATTTGCACTAAAGACAAACATTTGAATAGGAACAAATACATGTTGTGGATAATAAGTTATCTTAAATGTTAAAATTAGAGTTGAGCCATATTAAACTCTGTGTTATATGTTCTACGATTACGCACACTATTTTCAGATTAAAATGTATTTTTTTAATGACTTTTTTTTCTGATGGGAACGTCAATGGCAATGAACAGAATCAATGTTTCTGTTCCACTCACTGTAGCTTTTCTTATTGGCCTCTACGGGAGCATATTTGCAGCCGGACGACTCCTTTTAAGCTAAACGTTTTATTATTGACTTCTTAAAAAATTGGGACTAAAAGGCCCACTATAATAATAATAATAATAACAATAATAATAATTACAATAATAATAACAATCATGATAATAATGATAATAATAATAATAATAATAATAACAATATTATACTGAAGCTAGGCATTAGTTTATCTGTGTTAATCATCACAGACTAATAAACCCTCATCTGTTCTCTTGTGGCCTGCCGAATATAAAGGCTCAGAAAAGACCTTTAATTCAAGAACCCAATATTTTCCACTTCCCCAAAAAAACATTTTCCTCCTCTGCATCCTGCTGTAGTTTCGGCTCTGCCTGACTTGAGCGGACTGTGTGAGCTGTATGTAATCTTATGGAGTTATTGACTGAGTTATTATAGAAAACGGGCTCGTTCAGTCTTACCGCCTCTCTCTTCCGCCGCTCCTCCCGGGCCTCCGTCTTCTTCAGCTCGGCCTTGAACGCCTGCGTGTCCCCGTGCTGTCCGTCCTTGTCCAGGATGTCCATCAGGTAGGAGATGTAGCTGGTGGCCAGCCGCAGAGTCTTGATCTTGGACAGCTTGGTGTCCGCCGGCACGTTGGGGATGCACTCCCGCAGCTCCGCGAAGGCCGAGTTGATGCTCTGGGTCCGCCGCCGCTCCTTCCGGTTGGCCGTGGGTCTCCGCTTCACGGGCCGGGGGAGTGTGTTGGGGTGCATACCGACTGCCGCTCCGTTTACTGAGATGGCGCTGGCCCCCGGTACCAAGGCGCCGGGTCCGTAGTGGTGGTGGTGATGGTGGGGGTCCAGGCCGCCGGTGGACCCGCCGCCGCTATTGCCATGGTACTCAGGGCTGTACCCGGACGCGAGGCTGTACTCGGTGGGAGACACATCCGCGTGACTTATCAGCCAGCTCGTGAAGTATGGAGGAGCCCCGGTATCCTCGTGACACCGACCGGCCGCCGCCGCCGCCGCGTGCAGGGAGTAGTGGTGGCTGTCGTGATGGTGCATGACCGGGTGGTGAGGGAAGCCCGAGACCAGACTCATGCTGACACACACACACACACACACACACACACACACACACACACACACACACACACACACACACACACACACACACACACACACACACACACACACACACACACACACACACACACACACACTACTACTACTACTACTACGTACTACTACTACTACTACTACGTACGTACGTACGTACGTACGTACGTACGTAGTACGTACGTACGTACGTACGTACGTACGTACTACTACTACTACTATATATACTACTATATACTACGTACGTACGTACGTACGTACGTACGTACGTACGTACGTAGTAGTAG